GGGAACACCGGGCAACGTAGGAACGAGTCCCATGAAACTTGGTAATAATAGGATCCGAACGTCCGAGTTCTCTGCTCTAGTATATAATAATGTCTACTTATAATTAAATTATACTATAAAGACATTTCATACCTCAGATGCTACACCGGTGGACAAAGCGACGATGTGTAACGACGCAGCAGCGGAATTAGATCGTCTCACTCGGACCAAGAAACTTTCTCCACCCAACCTAAACTCCTCGTCTGAATGTTAAAGATAGCGTTTTTTCTTCGCGGTCCATTAATACAATGAAAATAATAGTCGAAGTTTCGTTGCCATTAGACAGAACTCAAATAACAACATAAATTTGAAATGTCTTATAGCCCACTCGTTATAAATGGGAGAAATCATAACATAATGATGCGATGGGTCGCGAAGAAGTAAAATTTAGCTCTAATCAATGATAATTTAACCGATCACATCGCAATGAAGACAAATTAAAAAAAAAATTATATATATATATATACATATATATATATAATCTGTCTTGCAACTCTGCGACAGCGAATGTCATAAACTAAATATCAGTAACGAAGCAGAGTACAATTAGAAAGCTATTAAATTAATGTAATTAAAATATTTAATATAATATTACCGAAATATATATGCTTACGCACATGTTGTCCTAGCGCCTGATCATAGTAAATTATTTAGCAATGCCCGTGTACGTGGATGCGCGGTTTTTTTATCATTCTATATATTTACATACGAATGCACATCTTTGTTTCTTCTTTGTAAACAAATACTCTTTTTATGTTATATTCGATCGTTTTTTTTTTTTACGAGATAGTCTCCATGACGGCTCATTACTTTGCATTCGGTCTAATTTTAACAATGTAAGTGCCGTTAGCGTTGCGAAAATGTGCGAATGCGTGAGATAGTCTTTTATACGAATTGTTCATAAAATAAAATGGGAGAATCCTTTTAAAGGAAGACACATTGGAATCTTCAGATTTAGGGATAGCTAATGGTACGAGATTGGGGATGTCCACAAATTGCGTGTGTAAATTCGATACTTTGTAGAGTTTTAGCAGAGTTATTATTCAATTCAAGAAAACTCAAGAAAGATATATTATTCAAGTCAAAACAGGTGAGCAGAGACATGTACATTCAATTATCAACTAAATGTGGCTATATGTATATGAAATTCAAATTCTCAATGAAAATAAATAATTTTTCGTATATCTCGTCTCTTATATACTTATTTTTAATCCGAGCAACACTTTAGTTACAATTCCACTAAGCGATAATAAAGAAATTTGTATAACGAATTTATATATATAAAATTCTTTTATTTTATTGGATCAGTGCAAAAGTTCGTGCCCGATTTGTGAATAATCGAGCAGTTGTTATTGTAAAAAAACCGTCTTTATTAATCAATGACATATTTACCAACCATTTTCCAATGTTCAACCAATTTATAGATACTACGTTTGAAAAAATCGCATGATTTTTGGTCATCGCATCGAAGAACGTGGTGATATGATTTTTAATAGTCTTTATAGAATCGAAAATTTTGCTATTTCAAATCGTTTTATAATGACCGAAACAAATCATGGAAGGGTGCAATGTCTGGAGAATATAGTGGATGCGATAAGATTTTTCATTTCAACTGTTTCAATTTGTCAGAGTCATTTTCGAAGTGTGTGGTCTGGCATTGTCATGGTGGAAGTTGACGCTTCTATGATTAACTACTCTCGATCGTTTTTCTTTCATTGCTACATCCAATTTGATTAATTGTTGACAATACTTCTTTGAATCAATCGTTTGGCCAATAGGAAGCAGCTCAAAATATATTATATAACACCTTGACAATCTCATTAAACAGCAAAACCTTCTTCGGATGCAACTCTGCTTTGGCGACTGAATCTGCCAGTTCATTTGCTTCTTTCTAAATACTTTTGATTTGACGTTGGTATACAGAACTCATTTTTACAGTCATCAGTCATCAAACGGTCCAAAAAAAAACCTCTTTCCAGGCATCCGAGTAGAGAACCGGCTGCAGAGATGTGGTCCAACTTATTTTTTTTTGAACAATGAATGCGGTATCCAAGTGTCGAGCTTCAAATTCGAATGAGTCCCATCTTCTTTAAATGTCGAAACGCGGTTGATCAATATTCAGGGCCTCAGCAACCTCTTTCTTTGAAATACGTGTATTGTTTGCTATTAATGTGCGCAGAACGTCGTCATCGATGACGGAAGGACGCCCAGAACGAGGTTTGTCTTCGAGGTTAAAACCACGATGAAATTTAGCAAATAATTTCTTCACCGTTCGAAGAGCTGGTGCACGGTCCAAATAAACTGAATATTTTTTGGCAACGTCAATGGTTATTCCTTTCCGAAACTCGTAAAGCATCACATGTCGAAAATGCAACTTTTCCTTGTCAATCTTCAATGATTTTTTTTTCACGACTTCAAAATTCAACCAAACCAAACTTACCAAACGCTTCTGATGCTCAAATGACACTTATGACTGTTATCTGCTGTTATTTTTCCAACGACATATAATATGCATACATAAACAATAACAGAGTCGTCATGCATTCACCAGTTCCATCTATACGAATCGGGCACGAAACTATACGAACTTTTGCACTCATTCAATATTATATTAGATAAAGTACATTAAAAAGCAATAATGCAATAATATAATCTTCGCTGTATAGGACATACGCTATAATTATCGCAGCTCAGACACTTGTCTTTATTTATAATATCGTATAATTCATATTATATGTATATTTATTATCATACAATAGTTATACGTATCGAAGTAAAACTCAAGAAAGACAGTAATACAATATATAAAAATACTGTCGAAATAGGAATGGCCTTTAAATATAAATCATCCATTTTATGATTATTCTTACTATTTTTCATCTAAGATTATAATTTATCAATCGTTATGATGTATAGAGGAAAATCCCCTATTATGAGATAGCCCAGTGAGAAATGATAATGGAATCGACATCGAATCGATGTCGATTCGACGTCGAAAGCGACATCGATTCGATTTCATTGTCATTTCTCACTGGGAGGCGCCTAATATGAGATAGCAACGTTTCTGCTAAGCTAATAAACATTATCTATTGGTTCCATCATTGAATTTATTGCTTTTGGATTGAAAACTATTTAGTAGAAAATTCATTATTCGATCATGCCTGTAGTCATTGTAAAATAAGATTTTAGAATTTGGATGTCTTCAAGTTTCATTGAGATGAGCATTTAAACCTTGTTTATGATTTAATAAAAAAAATAAATATTTGGCAATAAATTCTTCATGTAGTAATAGAGTAAGGTCGTACTAATAGAAAAATATGAGATGAATTGTTTAATTACAGAATAGTTAGATTTGATCGTAAAATAAGACGTGGAAATCATAATATGAGATATCCAGGATATTCCTAATATGAAATAACCCATGCTTCTATGTTATAGTGAAAATCATTGCTAAGGTATAAATGTTATTGTATAATGTTATTGTAATGAAAAAGACAACCGGAATAACCGTTGAGTGTCTATAATTGCGATGCTTGATTCCAACTACCTGAAAACGAGTTCTGGGTATAATCTATCGCTCATTTTTCGCGCACGCTGGCTGTGTTTGTTCGTATTTTAGAAACATTAAATAAAGTTTTTTAATACTTTGCGTTTTACTATCGATTTCTCAGGGCATCTCATATCAGGAGCACAATTTTTTGACTTTGCAATTTGCTCACTTTTTACATTTAATTTAAAAAAAAAATGGAGTTTGAATTAAATTTTATGTAACATTATCTTAAAACTTATTAAATTCTCTTCAAAATGACCTATTATTTTTTCAAATTCTGCCTATAGACTTCTAGCATTTACCCAAATTGATCTCATAATAGAGGCCTTTTCTCTAATACTGCTAATTTTTGTGATTGAGCTATATATAGCTAATATGATAATGCTAACCATTAAATAATTGAACACGATGTAAATTGGTAATAAAAATCAAATACAACTTTCATTCATTAATTATGTATAAAGAAAAATGCAGTTACGAAAAATATTTACAAGAAATGCATTGATGGCGTAAAAAGAAAAAGAGCATTATTATTTTTAAATTCATAAATCATGATAGGTATATAATAGAATCATCAATGACAAATCTCTTTTGAGAAATATAAAGCTAATATTTCTGGAATATTTGTTAAAAAAGGTATCATTTTATAAGCATATAAAATAATAAATAAACATATATATATCTCATACATAACATAATGTATACATATATAACATATACATACATATTATATATAACATATAGATATACATGTATATATATATATATATATATATATATATGTATCTTTTATTTACTACACTTCAAAATTGATATAAAATTTACATTAAAAACCATTTAATTTTAAAATATTAAAATTTTAGAAATATAACTAATATAAATTTTATGTCAATTAATATAATTATTACGTTCGAGAAAATGATTAATATATAAATTTTTAAATTGAAAAAAAATGAAAACAGCTTCATTATTTCACCGATATAGATCCGCCAATGTATTGTATCGAACATATTTTTACCAATTTATGTAACATGTAAATAACATCACATATATTAGCAGATATCATGATATCTAATTAACAACGATAAATCATGGAATCATCTTACAATTTTATTTTAATCCTTCGAAAAATATCAAACGGTTGAAATGTAATATTTTACTTATTATTAATTTTGGCAAATTATTGTGGAAATTATTTAAAATGGATATAAAACTATTATTCCTATTGATAATAGATATTCGGAAGAACTTTGTAATGTCTACTGAGCGTTTTCTGAATTTTTAATCATGCAGAAAAACAGTGTTATTCATAAGTGGTAAATAAAGATTTTTTGTAGGAAGCTTACTAGAAATATGTTACACTTGTTAATAGCCGACTACGCATGAAACGCAACTTCAACAGCATAATATATCATCTATCATGCAACGAGGTTCTTTTATTAAAAATATGAACAATAAATAATAATTGTGCGTACCTACACTTATCGCAGTTATTTACGTATCAATCAACTTACATTTTTATCTATAAACCACCGTAGCTCGAAGAGCGCCATTTAATATCTTCATTATTTTTCATTGTTATATCATTTAATATCATGATTTTTTTTATTTCATGACAAACAACGTTGCTCTGCGATTCAGCTTGACGTAATGCTGTTATCAGAAGTAAACGGGGCTAAGAGGAAATGGAGGTTTCGTCTCGTGAAATATCGTGGATCCTTGTGGATTATAATTCGTCCGTCATACAATCACGTATAATCGCCCTTAGAAAATTTCAGTGCGCAATGCAGCCTGTAACAGTCTTTTATTTTTAGTAGAGCAGAATACGTTTGTCTACCGCCTTGCGACATATTGGACACTCCGACATCCGGTCGCCGCACATTTGGCAGGTGCCGTGTCCGCACAGGAAGATCATGTTTTTCAGACGATCCAGACAAACCGGGCACATGGTCTGCAACAATAAGTTTCGCAATAAATTCTGCATGATATTCCGAATTCTGTTACCCATCATAAATAAATTAATTTATTCAATCTTCACTGTTACACGGATAGTAATTTCAGAAGTTTCCTCCAATTCAAAGTCAATATTATAACGTCATATATCTTTTGTTTTTAAATATAATCTATTCAGAGTTGACAAACGCTTTGATGACGATGTTGCAATTTTTTATAATGATAACGCTAACTAATTAAATGCTAAGGTTGTGCTAAAGTTGTCACTTTTAAAAGTAATTTGTCATCATTATATATTACTTACTGAAAAAAGTATTATAATAATAACGAGTAACGCGTAACGAGTAAAAAGTAACACGTTGCAAATTATTTTTTTCAGTAACAAATGACTTTTTCAACCCTGAATCTTACAAGTAACAATTGATTCTTCTAACTCTGATGTTAGCATTATCATAAAAAATTCACAATGTCATTACCAAATCGTTATTATAACAAAGTAACGATTAACAAAGTAACGACGTTACAAGTAAACACCGTTACTTTGCCAATCCTGAATCTATTTAACATTAAATATATGTACAATTTTTAAATTTCCTTAAAGTTCTACTATAAATTGAATAAAAAAAAATTAAATTTTTTCTAATCAAAATTCTTCTAATCCTTCTAATTCTTCTAATTTATGACCTAACTTTTTAAATCTTTTCTGAATAAATAAAGTAAAAACTAAGAAGAGAGTTGTTGCGGGTACTCTATAAGGAGGCATTGGGATACAGTCCGGGAAAACGTATTCTGCTTTTTCAAGAGAGAAAGGTAATTGTACACAGCACGGACTTCTTTCTCCGACACAAATTAAATTATTCGTTTCATTAAAGCGACGCATAACGAAGCGAAACGCAGAAGGGACACGTACCTGCTCCTTGATGTCCTGCAATTGCTGCTGTAGTTTTTGTATGTCGCTGTGGGAAGTATCTCGGCTGCCGTTGTTCATTAGGAGAGCTTCTCCAACTCCGGTATTGTTTGAGGGCGTCGATTCTTCCTCAAGATCCACCTTGACTTCAGATATTGTTCCTTCGAAGCATAACAGTCGGTTAAAAAAATAAATAAAAATAAAAAGAAAAGAAAAAAGTTACTAATTTCTTGACAATGGCAGCATCGCTTAGAGATGCTCTCATTTATTACAATTCATATTTTTACTCGCAAATTAATGTTGTTTATCGATAACATAAACATTAAAAAAAAACATTGAAATTAGCATATAAAGTAGTGCAATAAATACATAAACAAAAGTTTGCAAAATTGTGTTAGCAAAAATAGAAAAATATAAAGAAATATTTCTCCCATTTAAAATTTACACATTTATATACATTTAATAATTCAAAGTATTAAAAATATACGTGATCAGTTAGTTAGGAAGCTACTTTTGCGATTAGGTTTTAAACACGATCTCCAATCAAATTCATCCTTCGCGCGAACACCATTATCGATCGTTCATCATTACATTAATTATTAAAAGGCAAAAAATGCAATGCACGCGCAAACCGTGCAAATACAGAACAATTTGGTATACTTATTCAAGATGAGATTAGAGGTGAGCTATCTAATCGTTGCGTGGGAGTTTATTAAATTCCATGCGATTAGATAAGTCGAGATAGACGAGAAGTTATGAATGTTAATACCTGAGGCGTTGCACCCCTTCACGTAGGTGACATCACCACCGCCGCCGCAGCAGACAGAGAGTGGTACCATGTGCTGTATTTGGGCCCGACATTGCACGCACTTCTTCATCAGGGCCGCACAGCTCTCGCAGGCACACATGTGGCCGCACGGACGGAACAGCACGCCCGCCTTGCGATCCGAACACACTACGCATTCTTCGATCTGAGAACAAACGTCCATTATTGTGTGAAGGCAGAAGGTTGATAGAACGCGCGTTTAGAGTTTCGAGAATCTATTCCGGGACAGAATGGGATTATTCGGTCAACTATTAGTCAACTACATAGCAATAGTGCAGCATGGTGTATCAAGTTGGATCGATAAAAGGTTGAAGGAGTAATTTACTGCGCGATTGGAACTTTAGTGGCTTTTACAGAAAATTAAATTAAGATTACTGAAGAGACATATTTGCATAAACGTAAAAATCTACTGTGCATAATGATAAAATGTATTTTTCTTTTATAGAAAAGAGAGTTCATTTCATAGAAAAAATTCAGAATTATATCGAAGAAACAGAAGAAATATGTAATTATTATTAAGAATATCATTAAAACGCGAAAATCGACAACAAAGAATTTATAAGTCTAATATTAATGTAAAATTATTGTTAGATAAAAAAATAAGTTTTAAAAATAAAAATGGTACGTGTGATATTTTACCTTTACTCGAGAAAGAACGTTCTCACGACAAATCAGGCATTTCTTCACCCTCGGTGCACAGACGTTACAACAAGCCACGTGTCCACAGGGACTAAACAGCATCTCTCGTTTGCCATCGGAGCATACAAGACACTCGTCGATCGCTGCCGAAGGGACGATGGTTTCGATGTCGTGTCTGTGGAAAGGGGAGCTGCATGTTAGCTACATTATACTAAGAGATACGGCGATGTATGTCGTAATTGCATGGGGAATTATACGTGGAACATGTAACAAGACAATCGATTGTATAAATTTGTATTTTAATTCTTCGCGAATATTTTTATTTTCTCTTGTTAAAAAATTTGCGAAAGAAAAATTTCTACAAATTCCATTAAGAGATATATTACGTTGAATAGAATTTCGAAAAAAGACTTGATTATTATATTCAACATTTTTAATAAAATATAGGCATTTTTACAGGATTCAAAGATTAAAAGAGATCAGAAAGTATTTTTCCCTTCACCCGAATACTAACGACTCCTTATCCTTGTGACAGGTGGTGAGAGTCTTGCAGAGATTCGGGTCCGGGCAAAGATCCAAAGGTGTTTGGCCCTTTTTGTTCTTCAGCTCTAGATCGGCACCGTGTGCTGCAAGGAAGCATGCGATGAAGGAACTGCTCTTCTTGTCCTGACCCTGAGTGCCCAGGCCCATCAGCAGTCGTCCGACATCCTGCACGTCCTGCAGCTGTCGTAGTTGCGACAGCGTGTGATGTCGAAGGGCCTCATGCAGAGGCGTATCTCCGTCCTTATCGGCGACATTTAGATTCGCGCCTTCGCGAACCAACAGCTGCGACGGATAAATTATCGCAAATATAATCGATCTTTCTCCGGGGGAAGAATAATTCGAACTATCCTATTATCGGATGTCGATTCAAATAATTTTTACCCAACGTTCGATATTATCAGGAATTTAATCGTTATTTTAGAAATTTAAATGTTATGTTACTATGATTTTCACAAGATTGGAACAAACGATTTTCGCAAATATTAGCGGAAACATACTCGGACGATCTGCGTGTGTTGTCGCTCGACCGCTAGATGCAAAGCGGTCTGCAGGTTCACGTTCTGCAGATCCAGATCGGCTTTCCCAGCGCGTGCCAGTTGTTCCGCAACTTCTACGTGATTGTTGAGGGCAGCTAAATGAAGGGCCGTATAACCATCATCTTTCTTCTCGTCGACAATCCAGGGTCGCGGTAATTTTGACAGCAGTACCCGCATTGCACTAAAATCAAATGAAACGCAAGATATTAAAACAAAAAGCCGCGATTGCATTTTCGAAACGAAAAACCTGTTTCTGTTACACTTGCAAAATATATTTTAATTTAAATTAGGCTTTACAACGAATTTTGCCCTAATTATCTTATATATGAGTTGCCTTAATTAATTTTTTTTTTTTTCAAGAAATGTTCCGAATAAAACACCTTATATCTAAAAATGAATGTTTTTTATTTTTTTACAACGTATTTTATATAATTATTTTAAATAAATAGTGTAATTTAGCTCGTATTTGTTTCATAACTATTTTATTTATGTATGATACTTTATAATTTTTTTCCTCTATAAGATGATCAATTTTATTATTCTTTATTATTATTTTTAACTAATATTTTGACATATTTTGATGTCAATATACATATATTCGTTCCACAGAAGCAATTTTTCAAGAATATATGATATTTATTTCTGTCTGCTTGTATTTTTACAACATATCAACATAATTTCAAATTTCCTTGTTAGATCATACACTTCCGTGTATCTCATATACATTTCTAACTACTCGCTATAGTAAAGACAAGACCCCATGGTAAGATGATAAAGAGAGACAGCTGTTCTTTAACAGGACCTCTCCGCCGAGGAGACCTCTTCGAGGCCGTTGCTGTGGCATGAGAAACAGGCGTTTATATGTTTCATCACATATGTGATTCCTGCATATGTTTCGAAATATCTCGCAAACGACTCAGGAGGCCATCCCGCATTCTCCTTCTTATCGCTTCAGAAAGATATTTCGTCAATTATACCATGATAATTTCGCAGAATCAAAAATCGAATTATAGAATTTTGCGGAAATTTTTTTTTAATTTATATTATATCTATATTACAATAAAAAAAATACGGTAACAATTACTTTTAGATAAAAAGAAAATTTTCTTTGATAATATATTTTTTCACAATAAATCAAATTAACACTATGAGAAAAATTAGCAATGCAAATCTTAACTCGATGATCGAAATTTGATTTATAATTCTAGTTATTTATTTTATTATCTTAGAATTACATTCAGAGAAAAGTTTCTTCGGTTAAAAAAAAATTATTTCAACCAAAGAAATTTGTGCATTGCTTAAAGAAAAGTTTCTCTTCGATTTGAATATCATTTCCTTGAAATCAAATAAATTTTTATTATTTTTCTCTATTATATTTTTATTCCAATTTAAAAAGAATCAATGAAACAAATAATTTCTTCAATTTATACATAATTTTTCTTTGGGTGTAAAATAAAATAATCCGTAAAAAATTATTACTCACACTTATTAACTATATTAATGAATGCTTGCACAAGTCATACGGGAGCAATAATACCAATAAATATAACGTTACATTCATAATGTTGTTATAAACGTCGACCGCCGTTTTCTCACTTCATGAGAAGCCATCAAATTTTTATGGCGTGTAAGCGGCGTCATTTTCATTAATGCGGTCTAAGGGTGCACGTTTTGCATCCAAGTGAGATCGCAGGATTTCGTTACCCGCGGCAGCGCAGCAGCAGCCGCGAGTCGTAGCCGGCTCTCCTTGTCATGAATATGCAAATGGTCGCGAGTGTTACCGTTACCGCGTTAATAACCATAAATCGATTACTTTGCCAATTATGTCCGGGTACTCGTGCCTTGCATCGACGACGCGAGCGCGATTTTATTGCGTCGTTGACCGGCCTCGTTGATTTCATTCCGCTATCGTTGTACACGTGGCTCTTTTTTTTTCTTTCCGCCTCAATTCTCACGGCTTGCCGAAATAATTACAAACGGAACGATTGGAATAATATAACGATTAAGGTCGTTCAGTTCGGGCTGGCATTGTCTATAAAGCAATTTAAAAAAATATATGCTCTATACCTTGAATAACATACATTCGTTTCAATCTCGAGATGTAATTAGTGCACTGTTATAATGTAATTATACCTTAATCGATTATCTGACAAAATAAGACACGTATAATAATCATATCAATATCAGTGAACTGATGAAGGAAAAGGCAAATCTCTTTGATCTTTCGTCTTGACGGACCTAGAAAGAGTGAAGTAGCTAAATGGGCACAGAACTCTCTTTCTACTCTTGTTCTATTGGAATTATGTTTCAGGAAAAGGAAAACAGTGTATTCTTTAAAGTCAAGAGCCATCATAGTATTGACTGATACTAACGCAATACAATAATTTTAAACTTACATTATTAGTTATTAGATACAAAATAAAACTTGAAATGTGATTTCTACGTGTATTTTGTGCAAAAGTAATACTCTGAGCACAGATGTATCAATTTAATGACTCAGAGCCCTTGATTAACTACTATCTCCGTAATCGTTCTATCTCTTTCTAGATCTGCCAAGATGTTAATACTCCATCTACTATATGTCGATGATCACGACACAGTGATAACCTGTAAGTTTTGGCACCTTCGAAGAAAATCATGAAAACAATCAATCAAAAGTATTACCTCAAAATAATATAAAATACGTATTATTAAAATGAGGCAACGTGTGTGTTTTGATAATTGTGATCAATCTGCTTGCAAAACGCGCATTAGTGGAAGGCATTCGTAGTAGCACGTCTAGAGAAATACTACGCTATCAGAAAAAATTTAATAAAACAAAAAACGACACAGTAATATAGCACGTACTCTAATATTATTTTTTTTATATTTGCGCTTTTTTTACTTGCGCTGTTTCGTTTTCGTGCTAAACTGTTTTATTTTAAAATAAATGTAAAATAAAACACAGTAAAAGAAATTAATTTGTTAAAACTTACAAAAAGAAGAGCATAAAACCACAGCACAAGATATTCTTTGTGATATTTAATATATAATTATATTAATAAATAATTTAGACGTTTCGGCCACAATCTGGCCATCTTCAGTAAAATTACAAATATCCGTAAAACACAGAATTTACATAAAACTGACATTAAATTCAGCGGTCAAAAATATAAATTTATATAAACGCATTCTTTCCTTTTCTAAGAGTACATCGTAAAACGTGGTTGCAGCGTCAATTATCATATTGCGAATTATGTAGAACAAGAATTTCCAGATTCTAATTTAAAAAATTATATTATTGTTAATATCTTCTAGTCAATTTGATAAGGATTAATAATTCGTTACCTGTTTTACAGACAAAATGATGAATCTTAAGCACTTTCCTCACGCAGATGGAAATTCGTGACATTGTGTATTATTATTTGTCCATAACTTATCTGTCCATAACTATATATATATCTTTAAAGTTTCCCTTTTATGTCTATCGGAGTGAGGCTCAATACCTTTTTATAAGAGGACCGGCTTTTTCTGTTTAATTATGACGTCGCTAGAATTTATTGTCCTCCATTCAAAAATCGCGTTAAATTTCATATAGAATCTCGTACGTGAATGAAAGGCACGACGACGTTGATTTAAGACCGCTGATAATTATCGCAATTACAACGGCAGGTCTCGTGCAATGTAATAAATAGAAATAAGCGAGCGAGCGAGCGACGCCCTGCTTATTGCGTTCTCCTGCCAGTCTCCGGTTTAATATCATTCTGTCGCATTTCGTGCGCACTCAAAGACGGAATTCGTCGCAATCGTCGACTCGGGCCCGCATAAATACTCACTTAGGCGGCGCATATCGCGACGCGTGATATTATTACCGCGATTAATTTCCCGTCGCTCGTTGACGACGGACAAAAGAGAGTACTCGTCGACGTCTCTATTCCTTTATTGGCATCAATGAACCGTCGTTAGGCACTCCCGATGTACCATTCAATATCGTTACGCCGACACACCAGTTCGCGGCTGATCATTATGGCTTCAAATTGTCATTTATTGTCATATCGTATCGGGAATAGAGAGACTAACATCATTCTGTAGATCGGAGATCATAAACGGAGATGATTTGAATACCATATCGAAAGAAATTCCCTACATATAGGGTGTCCTAAACTTTTTGACACATCGCTTCGTCGAGGCTGGTAGACCGGGTTAAATTGCGTTCGGACATTCTGCTCATTGGGTAATTACAAAAAATTGCAAAAACTGCAAAATGATATCGAGGATTTTGATTCAGTTTAATCCGCTTTACCTGCTCGCAAGCGGTATGTCAAAAAGTTTGGGACACTCTGTATGCGTACATATACAATACACACGATGCATTTGGAGACGTATAAAAAATTTACGCGTTCTCTTTCTGTTACCGATCTCTTCGTGAATTTATCCTTAACGCCTGTTTCTAACAGAAGCTCAGGTGAAACTCAGCATTGGATTTTTTTCTTTCGGTTTTCTTTTTCACAATACTTTTTAATTCAGCAGATTAAACCCATAGCGGATTAATTTTGATAGATGATTGAATAAATCAGGTGCAGTTTTGCACGGAGAGACTCGAAATAAAATCCCAGATGTAAAACTACTCGCGTCGCGTTTGCATGCGAGTCACCGCAAAGTCAGGCTCGCTTCGCGCGTCGCACGCACGATTTGCGCACGCATATATCGAGCATTTAGTGAGTCAGCGACAGCCGTGGCATCATCGCGGTCGGCAGAGCTACCGAGAATCCGATGCCACGATGCTCTAACGACACACGCGTGCCTCTGTTCTCTTCTCGATGAACGGCTGCAAACGTTCGACGAGGCTCGCGCCGTCTCCCGTGTTGAATCCGCGGCGTGCAGTGAGTCAGTGAGATCACGCGGCGACACGCTAAATATAATTGACACGAGCGTGTGCAAAGTAACAACGAGAGCACTGCAAGAGTGGTCGACCTAAGGAGGGAGGAGAGAAAAGTAGTAGTTTCGGTCTTTCGTCGTTGCCGGATCGTCGACGATCGAAATCGCGTAATTCTTCGATCGCGGTGGAAGCTCGTTGAGATGAGCGAAACGCGCGAGATCGCACGCGAAATCGTTCCGCACGCACGCAACGCTTCGCTAAATATAGCGCGGACTCGCGATTATTTCGGTATTCCTTGCCGCCGCCACCGTCGCGAATTCTTG